CAATGAATGAATGAAAATCCAAAGTCTATGTAAACATTTACTAAAATGAATAAAAAAATAAAATACATGAATTATATTTTATGTATATTAAAGGCATTTTGAGTGAACACTTTGTTGAGTGAAATAAATCACTCACAATAGGACAAATATTGCATAATTGCACTATTGTGAAGATAAGAGAAAAACTGAGCAAATTATGTATAAATGTTCAAAAGTGGAATAGGAAGGAGAGTAGTAGAATGGAAAAAACGGGGCAAAGGGAAATGATCTAAGATAGCAGTGGTGGAAAGCAGACAGAGAGGTGAAAGAATAAGAAAGATACAGTAAAGACTTGAGATAGGCTGATAAAAAGCATAGATCAATAGTAATTAATTATAAGTATAATGTATATTAATTATTTAATAAACTACAATGTGTATGAATGAAACACAATGTATATGATGAATGATTGTATAAAACATAATGCATATGAATAAAAAAAAACCCTTTTAAAGTTCTATTGATTTACCAGAATGACATGGGAAAACAAACAATAAACAAAAACCTAACTACAGAAATAAAATTATGAAAAAAAAGAAATATAGTTATGAGAAGGAACAAAGGAATAAATGATACCAAGATAATTTCCAGAAAAGTACTAAACTGACAAACAGAAGATTAGTTTCTTTGGGGTTGTGACTTTTCAGTGGGTCCTCATTACTTTCATCAAAATGTTTGCATCAGTGTGGAAATTATCAAACTATATCATTGATATTACATAAAAGTAAAATTTTGCTGAAGTTTATTTTTAAAATGGTGGAATTGAGAGCTTCTAGAATTTCAAGTTGTATTAAAAAATTATACATAGCTTCTAGAATTTCAAGCTGTATACAAAAGCTGTATTCAAAAGGTCATGTCATAAAGGATCTTGAATGGAAAAAATATCAGAAAGATATTTACTTGCATTTGATTGATTATACAAAGGAATTTGATTCTATGAAAGTTCCATTCTTTGATTTTATTCTCTCTTGTTTGCACATTTTGGCTATGTTTGTAAACCAAAAGTATCATTGGATAGAGCTTCTAAATTTCTTCCCATTTCTTTCCCTTATGATCTTTATAGTTTGGATTTTACCCCTAGGTCTCTTACACACGTTGAGTTGGTTTTTGTTTGTGGTGTGAGCGTGGATCCTATTTCAATTTTCTACAGGTAAATGTCCAATTTTGCTAGCACCATGTGTTAAAGAAGGTATCATTTCCCCTTTTTACAGGATTTTTTTTTATTTCAAGGATTTATTCATCACTGTAACTTTCTAAAAAACTTAAAAGAGTGACTTTACACCTGGACCTCACCAGATGGACTGAACAGGAATTACATTAATTTTTTTACAGAAAAAAAATCATTGGAGAAGAATAATATCAGCAGTCAAAACCAGATCAGGTGCTAATTTTGAAGCAGTGCATCAAACACTCTCATGCAAGCTTAAATTGATGCTTAAAACTTAAAACTAAAACAAAAACTTAAAAACTAGTCCACAGGAAACTTAAAATTAAAACTTGAAACTAGCCCACCCCACAGGAACCGAAATACAATCTTGAATCTATCTCAGTTAAAGTTAAGAATCATTTCAAGAATAGGTTTGAGGCATTGAACACCAATGACGGAAGACCAGAGGGATTGTGGGAGGAAGTCAGAGATATCATCTATGATGAAATAAAAATGTCATTATAAAAAAAGAGGATAAAGAAATAAAACATAAGGGATGTCAGAGGAGACTATGAAAAGTGCACTAGAATTTTGAGAAGCAAGAGTAAGAGTGGAAAAAAAAAGTAAAAGAGTAAAGTAAAAGAGCTGAAAAAGATTTCAAAATGCAGCTCAAGAAGTCAAAGCAAAACAGTTTATTAAAATGTGCAAAGAGCTGTAGTCAGAGAATAAAAAAAGGAATAATTCATGCAACATTTCTCAAGCTTAAAGAACTGAAAAACAAATTCAAGACTTGAGTTGTAATACGGAGATATGCTATAGGCAAAATCCTGAATGATTCAGAAAGCATGAAAAAAAGATGGAAGGAATACACAGAATCACTGTACCAAAAAGAATTAGTTGATACTGAAGATTATCAGGAATTAGCACATGAATAAGAGCCTATGGTAATGAAAAATGAAATTATAGTGTCATTGAAGACATTGGCAAAAAAATAAGGCCCCAGGAATTGATGGAATATCAAGTGATATGTTTCAATTCCAGGTGCAGCCCTGGATGTGCCTCTGAAAAGTTACTACAATGACATGATAAATATGAGAATATCAAATGGTTCAGTCAGAGCCCTGGTGGTACAATATTTATAGTGGCTGGCTATTTAGCCATAAGGTCAATGTTTTGAACTCACTAGTTATTTGGCAAGAGAAAGATGTGGTGTCTGTCTTTGTAAAGATTTATAGACTTGGAGACCAGTTGATTTTTTTGGTAGCTAAATGATTAAGCTTGACTGCTACCTGAAAGTTTGGCAGTTTTAACACATCAGCAGCTCTGTGAGAGACAAACTTGACGATTTTCTCCTTGAAAGTTCTCTCAACTGAAAATAAATAATGAAGCTCTAGTGATATAATTCACAGGGTTATAATTCACAGGTTTCACCTCTCTGGTGATTCAAATCCACTGATAGGTCCATGTATGGCCTATGAAATTGTTTGGAACACTTCATTGGTGTACTATAAGCTTACAACAATTTGTATCTGATTCAGTGACAATGGTGGTTGTTGGTATGATAGATAGGCTTGTATTGGTTTCAATTAATGGAACAAACTTTCTATAGAATAAAATTTAAACTACAGAAAAAAATATCAAGATTTAAGTAAGATGAAAACAATCTCACTCATGGATGTTTTGGAAAAAAAGGCAAAATGGTATAATCTGTGAAACTATAAACTATAAATTTAAGGAGTTGTTTGTCTTGTTAAAGGTGATTCACAGTTGACCTTTCAGTGGGTGTTCAAAGGCACTAAATCCATCCATATACAGTGTCCATCTATCTCCAGTGGAATATTTAGTGGATTCGAACTGCCCGGTTCTGGGTTGGTAACAATTCTGCACTATTATACAATATATTGTTGTTGTTGTTGTTATGTGCCATCGAGTCGTTTGCGACTCATAGCGACCCTATGTACAACAGCCCTAAACCCTGCTCTATCCTGTGCCATTCTCATTGCCTCTGCCACACCCATCCCGATTATCCCAGTCACTGAATCAATCCACCTCATAGAGGGTCTTCCCCTCCTTTGCTGTCCCTCCACTCTGCCCAGCATGATGTCACATCAAAAAAATGCAAAGGAAGATTTTAAGAACTAGAATTTTAGAATTCAAAACTCAGATTGACGTTTACTGCTGTTCAGTCAGTTCCAACAAATACTGACCCTCCATCATATTTCAAAGGCTGTAAGTCTTAACGAGATGAGGCTTGCCATTTTTCTGTCATGGAGGCATTACCGGATCTAAGCCACCAGAAATGTACAGCCTTTGCATTAGCACTATCTTGCTCTGAAACTCAAGGAATATCTGGTTCAACTTTCCTGCTTTTAACATAGTAAAAATAGTGACACAAAGTGGTTATAACTTGGCCAAAGTCACCCTTTCTTTTCAGATACAATTTCAATCAGTACTGAGTTCTCCTAGTTCCTATGCAAAGATGGGTTAAATCATTACAGCTGGTAGTATTCCATTTGGTTTCATTTCTTTGCAAACCACTATCCCCAGATCATAGGAGACTACCTACTTGTAATACCAAGTTGAAGGTGGGCGATTTTCTTCTGTGGCCCTCGGCCAGGTTCAAATTGTCTTCCTGTCAAACATTCTTCTAGGTGGTATAGCACTGGTCTGTGCGTTGCTGTACAGAGGTAACTCGCGGTTGCTGTGATACTAAACACTGTGACAGTGATGTGTCAATTGTGGTAATGGATACCCATGGTGGACAGTGTTGGCTGGAGCTTCCCGACTAAATCAAGCCTGGAAGCAGGAGCGGCATCCACTTCCAAAATGGCTTGCTTCCGGAAACTCTATGTACGAACAGTGCTCACTTTCGTTCATAGGGTCGCTATGAGTCGTCTACGACTTGACGGCATTAAACAACAACAACAACAACCACCACCTACTTGTAATAGAAAAAAGAATGTTATTCCTAAAATTGTTGCTCAAGAATTCCTTAGTAGTAAATACTACTACTAAAAAGAATTAAAGTGCTCTAGCTGTCAACTCAGAGAGTGGGGTGGAACTCCCCGATTAAAACAAGCTTGGAAGGAGGAGTGGCATCCACTTCCATAATAGCTTGCCTCTGGAAACCCTGTGAACCTGGAGAGAGGATGAAAGGCAACCAAGCGTTGAGGACTCTAGGGTCGCTATGAGTCTCCTGCGACTCGCCTCGATGGCACTTAACAACAGTGACAACAGCTGTCAACATGTAAGGAAGTGCACTGACAATATAAAGGCACATGGCTGCATAAGAGAAAGATGGACAGTCAGCTCCCATACAATTTACTGCCTCTGAAAATTTGCTAGAGGGTCAGTTCTGTGTTAGTTCCTACACAATAGTACTCAACAACTACAAGAAGTAATCTATAATTAATTTAAAACTACATTTCATAGTATGTCTTCACAGTAGTAACAGGGAAAGTAAGAAATATTTGAAAGAGTTAGGAGCAAAACAGTTACAAAATAGGAAGATATGGAGAGAAAAGAATGAGGATTATGACAATATTGACAAATATTTATTAAACATAAAATATGTTTTAAGAATATCTGAAAATATATGGCCTCTTAGAATTAAAAAAAAATTACTGTAGAACTGGGATTTTAGGCATTATCACTACATAGAGGGTAAGATAGCTTACAGAAGATTTTAAGGGGCCTCAACTTTTTCCAAAACTTGCACTGTTTTACTATTAATCCCTTAGGCAAAAGGTTCTCTGACAAACAATATACTCATGAAAGGTCATTTAACAGATTAAAATCACCATGTCTCAGTTCTTTATCTGCAGATCCTCCAGATCCTTTCCAGGAGTCTTTTCAGGGCCCCTTTCACATCCTTATTCCTCAAGGTATAGATGAAGGGGTTGAGAGTGGGGGTGATTATGGAATAGAAGAGGGAGATAAACTTGCCTTGCTCTTGGGAGTAGCTGGAAGGGGGTTGTAGATACATGTAGATAGCAGGTAGGTAGAAGAGGGAGACCACCACTAAGTGGGAAGAACACGTCCCGAAGGCCTTATGTCGTCCCTTGGAGGACTGAATTCTGAGCACTGCACGTGCAATGAAACCATAGGAGAGAAGAATGAGAGCTAGGGGAATTAATACAAAGAAGGCTACCAGCACAGCCAAAGTAGCGTCATTCACAGTTGTGTCAGCACATGATAGCTTGATCATGGCTGGCACCTCACAGAAGAAGTTGTTCAACACCCGCTTCCCACAGAATGGCAACTGTACTGTCAAGACCACTTGAACTAGGGAATTGCCAAAGCCACTGACCCAGGCCACTGCCACGAGTTGCTGACAGAGAGAGCGGTGCATGATAATAGCATACCTGAGGGGTTCACAGATAGCTACATAACGGTCTAGGGCCATGGCAGCTAAGACGATACACTCAGTGCAGCCCAACCAGTGGAATATGGCATATTGAACTGTGCAACCACCATAACTTATGGTTTTCAAGGAACTTCCCATGTTGAACAGCATCTGTGGGACTGTGGTGGTGGTATAGCAGAGATCCAGAAAAGACAGGTGACTGAGAAAGATGTACATGGGGCTTTGGAGCTGGGTATCTAGCCGAGACACCAAGATGATTGCAATGTTGCCCAGCATGGCCAGAATGTAGGACACAAGAAGAATCATGAAAAGAGGAAGTTCTAGCCATGGCCTGTCGGAGACACCCAGTAGAATGAAGTTCTTAGGGGAATCCTCCAGCAAGCTCTGGTTGCCACTTCTCATGCTAATGCATTATCTGGCACCTGTAATAAATCAAGAATATTAGAACAAAGTAAACCTGACAGACAGGATCAATGTAGTTCCACATTATTTTTTTTTGCTTAAGTTAGACAATGTATGAGCTTCTTTACCTTTGTAGGGAGCCATATAAGCTGCAAATATGCTCTTTTTCTAGTTTATACTTTATAACCTTGAGAATGGTGACTAGTCTTTCTGAAACACAATTTCTGTATTTGTAAAATAGAAAAATACTATTTTAAATGTGAGTGCTTATGGAGGACAAGAGCTACTGAATATGTGATTAAAAGAACATGACATGTATGGATAACTTTCTTCCAATTTAGTAAAACCCTGATACAGCTCCCATCACCACTAAGATGTTTGAGATCTCCCTAAACATGGTAGGGAACTGTTCTCTTTCTTAGGCTTTCTTGTTATGGTTTTTGTTTTGTTTTTTTTTTTTCCTTTTCCTTTTCTTAGGTGGTCATGGAAGGTGAGAGTGAGCATAAAGAAGATCTAAGGACTTTTTGAACATTTAGGAATCTTACTGGTGTAAATATATCTTACTTACTGCCTCAGCTTTTAAGCCTGAGTACATGACAATGAAATGCACCACGGCTTTCTGAACCATGCTGTTCTCTGACCTACATGACCTTTCACACAGGCAATTTCTAGCACTTATAAAGGCAGTGAAAACAGCATAATCCAAAATTCTGAGTCCCTTGAGTAGAACAGTCAAGTCATATGCCATTTCACTCCAGATTTAGTTATTTTTGTTGTTCTTAGGCATCAAAGAGTCGAGTATGACTCAGCAATCCTATGAACAACAGACCCGAAACCTATCCTATCCTAGTCCATCTTCATTATCTCTAACGTGTGAGAGCCCATTGCTGTAGTTACTGTGTCAAATAATTTTGTTGGAGTTCCTCCTCTCTTTTGCTGACCTTCCACCTTTCTAAGCATGATATCACTTTCCAAGGAATATCTTCTTTTAAAAGTATGTCCAAAGTGTGAGAGACAAAACTTCACCATCTTTGCTTTCGAGAAGCACTCTGGTTGCACCTCCTACAAGACATATCTTTTTGTTATTTTGGAAGTCTATGAGATATTCAGTTCTCTTTTCTAACACCATGAATAAAAGTCATCAATTCTTCTTTGGTAATCTTTATTCATTGTCCAACTCTCAGATGCATAGCAAGTGATTGAAAAGACCATGGCCTGAAT